AAGCCATGGTTGCATACTTCGTTTTTCTCAAGTTTGCTTTGAACACAGCAGTCAGGCTATGTTGAGTCTGTTGGTCCTTCTTGCACGGAAGTCTCTACGGTTTTGTGTAGACATCATTTCGGATGACTACACTTGGTTAGATGACAACACTGGAGACGTTTTATTTTCAGTGTGTTCGCTAGGTCGCTACCACTGCACTGCTGAACTCTTGAGGTGCCTCAGCGCACCGTTGCTGTCAAAGAACACAGAGAAGCTCCACCCACTTTATTACACTGTAACCTTCCACACAAAATAATTCCAAACAAGTAACAATGGCGTCAGTTTCAGCTTGAGTCGAGCTGTGGACAATGTTGACAGGCTTGCACGCAGTAGCCATACATTTAGCTATGGCTTCAGCAAATTTGTTCTTCGTCGTGTTATCCATTTTCTTCGCTTTGAAATTATCCATAGCTGTCTGTCTGAGATGAGGGGGCGGAGTACTCACGTCAGCTGTGTGCTTGGCCATTCAGTGGTATTTCAGACTCGACGTGCTATGATGATAGCTCAGTTTACGACTGCAAAACATACAGATAACTTTGGTCTTGTTGGTGGAACAATCTGGCAACTTTTTAAAAGTAAACTTTCCATTCATAAACTCTTAAAGTATCCATTTTCGGTGTCTCGCGCTGCCGTGGCTGGCAAAACAAATGTGCGTGTGGACATGTGCAGCGTACTTGTTGTTTTGTTTCTGGTTAATTTATACAGCAACGTAACATCCGCTGTGACGTCTGCCACGAAGGCGGACGCTTTTTTTGCTCTGCTCATGTCCTCCCCTCACCCTCCCTTGCTCACCACTCAGTCTATATGCTGTCCTTGTCTGACTATCCTAGCCTCCTGCCGTATTTTCATCCTAAAAACAAACCATGGAATTAGTTGGCTGGTCTCTCGATGCCATCGACAAAATTTTCTCGACGAGAAGAGCAGGCAGTGGGGAGCCTACTTGCCCCTCGGGGACATTTGCTGCTGGGTACACCCTAGATCCCTGGAGGAAGTGGGGTATGGTGTGCCTGTCAATACTGTCCGTTGAGGATGAGGAAGACATCTACATAATCGGCCTTCTGATAGCAGGTATGCTGCTGTTTGGTGTTCGCAGTTTCCTGATCTGTCGTAAAATTCAACCGACGGGAGCGGCTTTATTGAATGTGAAGAAGCTGCCGGTCTTTTTGGATGGCACGGCTTGGATGTCCAACACTCAGACTCAAGTGGTGACTGAGCTCAACCCCAAAAATGGATGCGGTTTTGGAGCGTCATTGCAAGATGGAGAACAACTTGGAGAAATTAGGATCCATGCTCAAAAAAGAAAGAAATCACGGATTTGGCTGATCGGCGCCATTGAAGAGACACAGACCACGGACTCAAGGCTGTCTGGAATTGTTTGGCAGCCGTTCCCAAAACATCTGCTATCTTGACCTTTCCCCTGGAAGAACGTACGCATGGAAGCTAGTGCCCTACCATCAGCCCCTCCTTCTCGGCCATTGACTGATAAGCCAGGACTGTCTCCATGAGAAAACCTTGACGAAGCAGCTGCGGACTCACACGCACACACAACCAGACAATCACAGGCGTATACACAACCTTTTATCACCGCCTTCATCGTTCCTGTTTTTTCCCCCACGACGTGGACTGATCTGCGGAGCGCTCGGTGGACTGTGCAGCTGGTCGGACGGGCCGCGTTGCGTCCCCCGCCCCTCTCCCCATCCATCCGCCCCCTCATTACATGTTCTGTCTTGTGACTTGTTGTAACTGTCATATGCTTATTTATGTGCGAGTGTCTTTTTTTTCCCTGACTTAAATTATCCTCAGAAGAGGATAGTTCGAGCGTGTTTTTTTTTTCTCCCTCTCCCTACCTAGTGGTTTCCTTTCTGAACTCTGACTGTAAATTTCCCCAGTGCGGGACACACAGTAAATATCCGGAATTCTATGAAAAGGAATTTCCTTCATCAGGAATAAAAACCTATGCATTAACATTTTGACTACGATATTACATTTTACCTGAACTTACTTATGCGAAAGTTCCACTATCCGTAACCCAGATGGAGACGGAAGGCCGCGGGAGCGTAACCCTTGTGCTGCAATTTCTACGATGTTTGGAACACATGGGTTACCCCATATGTTACAATTGCTACAATTTTTGTAGATTTTTGCGTATTGTCATCTTTAAATCAAAGACACAGCATAAAAAGTGTGTGATATGAAATATTCCAATTCATGTTTTATTTATATAGATTAATATTTATGTTTTGGTCATAGCACAATACCGCTTTTATTGTCCATAGAGGGCAAAAATACAAAGAAAAAAATAAGAACTATATGTGTATGTATAGCACTGATGCCACTGAACATGTCGAGTGGTTGAAAGTGAAATAAATATTCAGGAATAATACTTTTACAATTTTTGTAAAATTGTATGTTGCGTTATATAAACTTATTTAGATCGACTGCAGCACATGGGTTAATTAAATACACGCAGCGCCACCCGATGCAACGGAAGACACGACGGAAGACACGTGTTTACTTCACTGTTTTCTATCATCGGATTCGAAACAACGACGTGTAAGTGACTTTTTATTGGCGTGCATTTTACTGTAATTGCGAACGATTTTAACTTTATTTACTTACGTCCTGTAGATCGAGGCACTAGCTTAAAAAGCAGCGCCCACTCGACACAATGGGAGACACGACGGAAGAGATGTGTTCGCTTCGCCATTTTCTTTCATCGGTTTCGAAACGACGACGTTTAAGTGCCTTTTTATTGCCGTGCATTTTACTGTAATTGCGAAAGATTTTAACTTTATTCACTTATGTCCTGTAGATCATGGCATCGAAACAAAGAACAACCCAACAAAACAAAACAAAACAACCCAAAATCGACTCATTTTTTCCGAAGATGGAAAAAAATCAACATTAAAATACTGTACGCACTCTACTGTGTTGTGATTTTTTTTTTAATACTCTTCACCTGTACTGTATACTGTACTGCAGTTTTTGTTATATAAACAGTTTTTGGACAATATATTTTTGCATTTTATTGCTTGTGCTGTTACACGTGCATTTTG